TAATTTGTCGAAGTATAAGGTAACACAAGAACTTCATATTTTCGCTTCAAAGCGGCTATGTAGACAGATTTTCCTATAATCACGCAAGTCTATAATCCTCTTACAATAGGATTATAGACGAACGTCACAAAAAATATCTAATACCTTCACATTTAATTCCTATGTCAATTGAATAAAAACATTTCTATTTTTCATGGTAACTCGAGACAGATTCTATTTTTATTTTTTTAACTTACAATATTATTTAGAGTGGCAACAAAATACATACTCCTTCTCCTCCATCATATCAACGAGGTAAAATAACAATAATGAAAAAACAAATTTCAAGTGTATTCTCCTTTTTGCTCATTTTCTTTAGAACCAGGTCAAATAGAATCACCTCGTTATATTAATCGTACATTTCCATTAGCCAATGGTTCGACATTGAACAATACTAATGAATCAAAAAATTCAAGGTTCACAACAGGTGAACAGTTACAAAAAGAATTGTTAAAACTAAAACTAACATTGGAGGAAGTGAAAGCAAAATTTACTGATCAAATCGACGATCTTATTCATGAGTTGGATGAAGAAAAAAAAGCTCGTGCTACATTACAAATTGAAATTGAACGCCTACAAAAGCTCTTTCAAAAAGCATCACGGATTAACTCATAAATAAATCTGTTTCTTCCTCAACGGCATTTTTTGTAATTATTTTTCACTTCTGTTCTATTTAAAATTCCTTCATGTGAACAGCCGTTGTAGTTTACTTTTCTGTTTTGAAACAATTTTAGATAGAAAAGAAAACCTAGTTTTGCAATATTGTTGTTTTGTTTATTGTACATGAATATTTTTTTTTGTCATTATGTAGATTTTAATAATAATGCATCTGATTGTAGAAATGAAAGACGAATTTTATAAGAATCCTTAAGAAATAATTATAAATGTAAAGCTCTATAAGAATTAGGTTTCACCGAAAATTTTGATCGATCCTCTACTATAATCTTCTTTGGTTTTTATATAAGTAAAGCTTTACAATGAGTACGACATTGAGGTTTATTTTTACTTCTAGCATCGTCATTAACATACTGAGTTTATTTTTTTTTTCGTTGAAAAGGAAAAAATATTTATTTTTTATACGTATAAGAGAAATTTTTGAAAAGAAACTAATGAATGTAATCAATTGGATAATAATGAAAAACAATGCGTAATTATTGTATCGCGCTAAAGTCAGTTTAGCGTAGGTACAGAAAAGGTTTGGTTCGCTAGATGATATGTTAAGTACTTATATACTTACGAGCATGTGCTCGGCAAAATATAGAATAAAAATATTAATAAAACAGTTCGTGTTTTTCATAATTATTGAATAGCGACACTTCAGAACTGGATTTACCAGTATTTTAATACCTAAGACGACATAAGATACTCATTCTGTCTCTTTTAATCAGGTTAACGAGAATATTTTCAAATACAAAAAACTTATGAAAACGCTTTCGATCTAGAATTATCTATTTCATCGTTTCTAAATTTAAACAGACACGCATCTGTACTGATTATATCTCCTATAAACAAAGATAAGCTATTTGTCTCATTAAATTTACATTATGTCCTTTACAGAGGTTTCATTCATTGGTTAATCCATCTCACTCAACCGATCAATATTACAAGACATAGCGAACACTGCAATATAGTAACGTACATTCCATCGAGGAATTGCGTCCGGTTTGAATCATTTGGGAAATTATCAGACAAAGCAACGGATGTTTCATATTTAAAAATCTTCATGTTCACATATAAATTATAAAACACATTTCGAAGTTCATCATATGCTACTTTGCGTTTCTACTTGTTGCTCTCTCGAAGCCAATTTCGTTGTCGAAGCATAAGCAACGCATTTCTCTCTTTCTTTCTCTCTGGTTTATTGAAACACCGTTCTAGATCAAGAAGCAAAAAAGCGAATGATAACACATGCATAAAACAAAGAGTACACAAAAAAACCGAACGTTTTTCTTTTATATGAATTATGCTAATTAAAAAAAATGAAAACACTGGGTGGAAAGAGTTAGATAATAATATAATATAACAATAATATGAAAAAAAGTCTTTACTTTTTCTTTGTTATTCAAACCACGGTACGAAGCAAAAAAAACGATCAAACATCATTATATGATCAGAATGAAAAAGAAACGAATCGACAAGCTCGAGGGAAAAAATTTATATACACGATTATTCGAATTGTTTATTTTTTGCCAGCTTTTGGTTGAGTTTGTGGTGGAGCGTTTCCGGCTCGTGGTGGAGTCAATGGACGACCAGTACTAAGACCACCATATTGATATTTCGGTTTCTTTTCACTTGGTTTTAAAATCTATGAAAAAAATAAAATTAAAAACAAAAGAAAAAACCAAGAAATTTCAAACTTACTTGAAAGGAACACATTAATGTATCATCAACAGACATCATTCCACCAGCATTATCAAATTCACCGCAATAATTGGGTGCAGAAAACAACGTTACTAATTGACGTTTAGCAAAAAATTCATAACCATCTTCAACAACCTAAATTCACGAAAAAAAAAAGTAAAACTATCAATGAAAGATATTTATTCATACTTGATGTGCTCGACATATTAAATCCATGTCATGTCGATTCAAGAACTAAAATAAATATTTCATAAAACTTCATCGAAAAAAAAACAACTCTTGTTTTACTTTAGCTACGACATCAGCACCAAATGTAAATGATACACCACGATCATTTTCACCCCAACCTTGTGTATCTTTATCCGGATCAGACCTAATATAATTTCATTTAAAACAAAGCAAAACTAACTATGATAAAACAAAACTTACCATAACAAATCGCACAATAATCCTATAATAGAAAAGCAAAATATAATTATAAACCAAGAAAAAGAAAATTCTATTCTCATACCAGTATCAGGAACATCGGTTGGCCGCATTATACGCCGAATTTGTTCCATTGTTTGAAGATCAGGAGATAAACCTTTGAGCGAAAAAAACTGCTTTTATATTTTTCATGGTTCAATAGAAAGCTACTAGGTATGATTTATTTTTAATAATAGATCGTTTGACAGTAATTATAGCATGACGTATGATAGTTTAAGTACTTATAGAGTAAGTACAAGTGCACAAACAACCATTCAAACTAGTCTTGAATATACGAAAATATGCAACTATCGTATATTTCATATTAACATTACCTCCATGACAGCAAAAGATTTTCTCATCGATGATAGCCGCAATGGGTAAGCAATTAAAACAATCTGTAAATGTTTTCCATAGTTTAATATTATATCGCCGTTTACCTAAAACAAAACAAAACATGTTTTTATTCTACATGAACTATTCCATCTTACATTCATCATAAAATCCATAGATTCGATTAATCGAAGCACATTCATGATTACCACGAAGAAGAAAAAAGTTTTCCGGATACTTTATCTAAATAGAATTTTTGTTTTGTCTTTAAGACAGTAAAATATTTCGTTCTGCTATCAAACTTTATAAGCAAGTAATAAACATATTGTTTCAAGAGATTGTTTTCCACGATCAACATAATCACCAAGAAATAAATAATTTGATTCTGGCGGAAATCCACCATATTCAAACAAACGTAATAGATCAGTATATTGACCATGAATATCACCTAATAAATATTTTTTAAAGATAAAACAAGCCAAGATTAAATTCTTTTCGTACCACAAATTTTCAGTGGTGCTTCTAATTCAAGTAAAATCGGTTGGCTTAAAAATATTTCACGTGATTTTAAACATACACCACGAACTTCAGATTCGCTCATTTGAACAATTTTTCCCGGGCGACATCCACGTACTAGAATGATTATGATAAAAATTTGATTCATGTTTTATTTTCGTTTTTTCTTACTAGTTTACCTTCAAGTAAACGTGCTATAAGACTATCAACATTAAGTTCAGCTTCGCCTGACATGTTTACTCTTTTATTTGTCTAGAATGAAAAAAACACAACATCGTATGTACATACAAATACATCTGTTTGTTTCTTGTTCTCCTACTCGAGCTTTCTATTGGCGTCTATGGTTACGTTTGAGATGAACAAAAATACTCTATTGGTATAAAAGCGAAAGAATAAAGTAGACACGAGAAGATGTCGTGACAAAAGAAAACAATTGAAAAATTGATGAAAATAATAATTGAAAAAATAATATGAAGTTATTTAAGAGTTGAATTTTTAAAAGCAAACTAAAATTTAATACGCTAATAGCTGATTGATTTGTTTAAAAATAAAAGAAAAGAGATGAATCATCGTACGTACGACGACTATGTATTTGTGTACGTAAAAAAAAAATCATTCATTCATTCATTCATTCGTATTAACAAATCTGATTCACTCAAATAAAAAATGTCTGGACGTCAAGGTGGCAAATTGAAACCATTGTAAGTTTTTAAACTGAATAATGAGAAAATAAACGAAATTTGTTTCTTTTTTTATAGAAAAAATCCAAAGAAGGATTCAAAAGAATTAGACGACGAAGAAAAAGCTTTTAAGGAAAAACAACGAGAAGAACAAAAAAAGCTTGAAGGTAAGTTATAATACTATGAATTCTCATAGGAATATTTCAATTTGACAGAATGTATTGACGAAGAAATAAATGTTTTCAAAAACAAAATCCCTAAAGAAAGATCAGCCCAGGTGTTAGCGTCCAATTTCTATGTAGCCCTAGATGTTAAATTTTCAATAAACTTTCATTATAGCAGTATTATATAGTTCTATTTTCGATTCATAGTTTATGAAATAGTACAGAATGAATTTACTTTTTATTTTATAGAAGCAAAAAAGAAAGCAGCTGGCAAAGGTCCTCTCAAAGTGTCAAAATAAACGATTATTGAATAACATTTCGTTACATTTATTTTGTTTGTTGTCATTGTTTGTTATTTCTTTATGTAGCGAATAAAAATTAATCAAAAACTATTCAATATTTGTTCGTCTTCATAAATATCTAAACTGCCTATGTTATAGATATTCTAGCAACTCGATAATATATTGTAGAAATCGTCATAGTTCAATATCAATTGAATATTTTAATCAATGAGTTCGAAATACATTAACTGAATGATTGTCTAACTCTTCTCGGTAAAATAAAACCCCTACGAATTAAAAATTGTGATTGATGGAAAATTTAAATTTCACTGATTTCTTCAGTTGAAAGAAACGTGCTGATCATATAACTGTTCGATTTCTTCTACGATAATCAATTAATAATGTCATCATTTTTAACCAATAATGATTATTTAATAATTTCTCGTCTCCTAAAATTTTTCTCGACATCGTATGGTGCAAATGCTCGTTTGAAATTAATTCAAACACTTGACAATTCCATGAGTATTTGCACATCTATAAGTAGTCGCATTCAACATCAATTAAAGTGTCGACATCTTATATCGCGTCTTCTATCAGCTGCTATACAAAAACAAACGTCGATTTATCACGATGGTGGCCTTTACTTTAGTATTATATTCTGCAGTTTTTTAATCCAATGTCGTGAGTTATCAATGAATGCAGCTAAACAAAATTTATTCTTTCAATGTTGCTTGAATTTCATCGATGAAATGAATATACCAAAAGAAACAATAACATTTAATTCAATTCATCAATTAGTAGCTATTGTACGTGCTGTTATATGTAAATCATTGGCATATAATAATTCAGATTTATTACGTGAAAAATTATGTCTTCTATCAGTAAAATCATTTCTTGAAAATATCACAATGATAAATTCATCGACACAACAACTTATTTTAACCATTCAAGGCTTATCGATTCATGAATCAACTTTATTCAATGGTTTACTATATCAAATATCGACATCAAAATCTTATTTATGTTCGAAAAAAATTCGTTCTTGCCTTTATTTTACTATATCTCTTGCTGGTGATTATATCATTGAAGATTTAGATCATATTGAAACCGAAACCCAAATGTTTAAATGGATCCAAAATACAGCTGAACGTATAACAAAACAAATTCTCGAATATACTTGTTTACATAACGGTGGATTAATTCTTTGCCAAAAAGTTAGATAGACTTAAAATTACACAATACACCTTTTTTTGCTCTTAAGGTTATTCATCCATCTGTAAAAACGAACTTAAGGAAATATGGCATTGATACAATTGATCGACTCGGTCGACAATATACACCTTATCTTTGTTATTTAACTGGTAGGAAAGATAGTATCCGATTGAAATATGTTAGTGTTAGTAGATGCCCTAGCCGAACTTTTTTTTGAAAGCGCATGCAATTCTTGATCAAGACAGTCAAGAACTATGGACACATCTTGAGGTAAGACATGAGACCTTTCGGTGAGCTCAAGTTCTTAAACTCCTTGTTCGTGCGAAATAACTCAACTTGCAATAAAAAGTTGATAGTTGCATTTTTCTTTGTAACTCATGGAAACATTCAAGCGCTTGTCTTGAGCAAGAAAGTCATGCACTATGAACGCATTTTGAGCTCAAGTCTGGGCAAGCGCATGAATAAAAAAGTTCGACTAGGTTGTCGTTAACTGGCACTAAACTATTTACAAAAAATATGTCAATGTTTCTCAATCTCGTTGGATTTGTTACGTCATTTGTCAGATATAGTTGATTCACGTGATTGAGTATCTATTGCGTAGTCACATTTTGTTTTTACACCAGTTGCTTTTTCTTCTCGATCGATATACAACAACGTCCTCCTATCTTTCTTTTCTGTAATTATTATTATTTATTAAATCGTCGTTAATATATAATACAAATACATATATTAACAGTAAACTATTATTGAACTCATCCTCCCGTATTTATTATTTCCTTATAGCCGAGTAAACTGTTTTCTATACGTGAACTCTCGTCTCACCTATATGAGCGGCATCCCCTAATATTTCATTTGATAAAAGTCGCATTATTTTTAAATAAAATAAACGACAGTCCTCACAGAATATCACCGCTCGACTTTTTCTTTTAGAATTCTTTTTATATCACTCTAGACTCAAACGTATGCAAACAGCTTGAATCCAAAAAACGTTTTTGAAGAGTTAGAGGCAGTTTCTTGTTAGTTTGAGTCACATACTCGATGATAACCTTTGAGATTCGAGCCAAAAATTTATTTGTTCTCCTCACAAACTCGATACGAAAAGCATGACATTAGATATTTTGTTGTATGACGCATCACTAAGATAAATTTGTTGTTGATGTTTACTATTTCGTATTAAAAAAGTAAAGTTAATTAATCATCGACATTTTGTAGTTGACGAATCGTTTTAATTAAAATATTTTTAAATCTAAACGATGAAATTGATTTAGATTGCCAACCAATTGAAACATTAACATTCAATACAATCGACAAACGATATTTTGGAACCGTAACTGAAATAAAAGAAATAAAAATTGAGAAAAAAACTTTTCTTCAATTTTTTAATGAAAATCGACCATTTCATACACTTTTACTTTGTGCAAATACAGAACAAGCACTTTTAGAACTCAAAGTAACTATGAAGAATTAAATTATAATTAAATTTATTGACTTTGAAATAGGAATCGATTACAGCAAGTCATCATACTCTTACAAATATTCTTCTCACTAAGCAGGGCTTGTACGGCGGTGGTTGTTCTGAAAGTATACAAATTCATCTTCTCAAAAATCAAATGAATCAGTTATCGGCTCGTTATTTATCGAAAATATTTCAAAATATTATTCGTGCTCAATATGATCATGATTATCTTGCTGATCGAGTTCACGGTCATCTTTGGTACCTATTAGAAAATGACCAAATCAGTAAAACATGTGCCTGTGAATTATATTCAATATCAGATCAATGCGGGATAGAATGGAGAAAATTATTTTTTTATCTCGATGACGAACAACAAGAAGATAAAATGTCAGATAATGATCAAATTTTCATTAGAAATCTTTGCCCAAAATATTTAGATAATTTTCACATGAGGACAAGTGCTTTGAGAACAGCTATTGAAACAGCGATTAATTTACATTTAACTAGTATTTGTTTATAATCTGTACTTGTTGTTTTTTAGATTTTAAAAATTTTCTTCTCAATTCATTATGCCACTGGTAGATAATTTTATGATTATCTAAATAAAGAACATAGAGATAATATTTTTTTTATTAAGCAAGTGTTCGAACGATCAGTGACTCAACGTGATGATATTCCATCGGCGCGTGAGTCATTTTTTATTTTAACAGAAAAAATTAATTCAAACTGTACATACACATAGGAAGTAGTCATTCGTTGACAGCTATCGATAATCATTTGTATTTATTCGGTGGTGAACATGATCCACGTGCGCCCATCGATAATGATGTTTGGCAATTTAGTGTAACTGATAATCGTTGGAAACGTTTGCCAGTTAATGGAGATGTGCGCCCATCATCGAGACTTGGACATGCAGCGGCTGCTGTAGATCATAAGTAAGTTTTATAGAAGATTCCTAGAAATTAGTACGAACTCCTTCGATATTATAATTGTCAGGATCACGGTTTTTGTCGAAGAGAGTATTCTTCCTATACGATTACGAGTTATTTCTCACGACTTAATACTTTTTATCACTTCTATTAGGTTATTTATTTTCGGTGGTCGTACATCGGTAAGTATGAAAGATAATACTCTAGACGAATTATATTCATTTGATGTTGATCTTAATGCGTGGACACAATATCGGAAAACATCAGACACTGACAAATGGCCTGAAAAACGAAGTTACCATTCAATGGCTAGTCGTGCTCATCAATTATTTGTTTTTGGTGGTTGCGGAGAAGAAGGTCGTTATAATAATTTATGGCAATACGATACTAATAATAAACAATGGAAACAATTACCGTTGCCAGATCCTGAAAAATGTGTAGCACGCGGTGGATGTGGACTTGTTTATCTCAATAATGCACTTTGGATATTTGGTGGCTTTTGTGGTAAAGAATTAAATGACATAGCTAGCTTTGACCTTGTTACGAACACTTGGGCATATATAAGTGATGCGAAGATTTCACCACGTAGTGTATTTGCTTTTGGATGCCTCGATGGTGTACTTATTGGACACGGTGGTGAACAAAATCCTTCCGATTTAGGTCACAGTGGTGCTGGTGAATTTGCTGACGATGTTGTTATCATTCAACAGATGAAAGAAGATGGTGAGTGTGTACTAGCAAAACGACTTGAATTTCAAAAGCCAATTGGTGGTAAACGAGGTTGGCATGCTGGTGCAACAATCAAAAGTACATTCTATGTTTTTGGTGGGAATACATCGGAAAATGAACGTGATAATTCATTACTTGCTATTGAATTCCAATAACAGTTTTTCGTGTCTTCTTTTTTTCTTTTCTAACGAATACAAGCAGAGAACCGAAAAGAAAAGCTCCTCTTCTTATTTAATATAACATTTGTAGAAAAAAAAAGAAAACTTATCACGCTATTGTATTCGTAAAGATAAATAGATTAAAAGAATGTTTGAATATCAATTATAAGATGGATTAGATTTTAATTAAATGTCATCGAATCGGTATCCAGTAGAATTGATTTGTCTTGTCGAAATTTATGGAACCATGTGTCCGATGAATAACAATGATCGTGACAGTTAGCGGCAGTACAATGTTTCAACAAGAAGATTTGAAGAACGAAGTAAATTGCAACATGATCAAATCTTTTTTCCTAGCAGTTCATATACTTGAAAATCTGACAGTAATCATATTTTTGATGTTATTCTATTTCCTTTGCATTTTTTTCATAATGCGAATGATAATATCATTCAGGAGCTTATTTGATATAAAAAGAAGATTATTGTTCAACCATGAGATATCTCACCATCTTGCAGTACTTCACTTTTAGTTTTTTGAAATCATTACAGTAACTCAAATTCATTAAATACTAACGGTCGCAATCATGATGATTCACTCGTTATTCACGAGCTCTATTTTTATTACTAGACATTGTCATTTACACAAATTTTTGACAGAAATACGCACGGATATTCTCATGATCTCAAGCCTCCTGTCGTTGTCTTTCTTGAGAATCCAAAATGAAAGGTACCTTGTTTCTTTTTGACACGTGTCATTATCTACACCAAGTGGTATCTACAGCATGTGCCATGAACAGAGAAAGAACTTTACAAAGGTAGCAATTGATAAAAAATTTTAAAAATTTCTTTGCTGAGTGCATAATGAGTTGTATAGTTGGAATATTTTCATCTAAATCAGGATTGTAATCGCCAGAAAATATTAACAGTGGTATTAAATTGAAGAAAACCAATGTTTCAAAGTCATCTCAGTACATATCTTCATCGTCGGCACCACCGATACCACTAAGAGACCCTCAAATAACACCCACAAACCCTGGAAATGATCAATACATACCATGTGCAACTTTATATTTCCATCTATGTGGCTATTGACACCCACCATAGAACTAAAGAGAATGATATATCATTTGAAAAATGTGATGCAATGCAATGGATACAAGAAGTCAACCCGTCAGAATTGGGAGTTATTCATCTGCGTTCTGGCAAGCGTGGTATCGTGCCAAACAGTTTAGTCCAACTTGATAAAGAAACTCCGCTTCGATTGGCTGAAAACAACCGTGGTAAAATACAGCAATATCTGATGCATTATAATGTACAGGGTGCTTATCTTATTCGATACAGTACTAGTGAACCAAAAGGTTTTGTGTTAAGTATCTTACAACCAAATAAAGATTATAATACTTTACATTGGCATTGTGTTATTCATATTAAACCATCGGATAATCGCTTTTATTTTTCAAAAGAAAAGTCACTTGAAGAACTCGATTTCTCATCATTTCATGAACTTATTGCTAATGAAACTGTGCGTAGTGTTATTCCTCTTACTGGAATTTTACCTCTACCAATTGATTTTGAACAAGAAATTGGAAAACGACGATTTAATGAATTAGAAATCGGTGAGGAAATTGGTAATGGCAAGTTTGGTATAGTTTCGCGTGGTGTCTGAAAGAGAGCTCGAAGCACAATACCCGTAGCTGTAAAGAAATGTAGTGCTGCTAAGTACACAAATATGTTGAAACGAGAAGTTGAAGTGATGAAAAACGTAACAAATCCATACATTTTAACATTGTAGGGTACTGGTGAAAATCCAATTACAAAAGAAATTCTTATCGTAACTGACCTAATGCCAAATGGTGATTTGAAATCATGGTTAAAAAAGTAACCAACTTTACCTGAACCTTCAGCTTTAGTAGGATTTGCAAAACATATTACGTTTGGAATGGCTTATTTAGAAGCAATTAACTATGTTCATCGTGATTTAGCATGTCGAAATATTCTTCTCGATCCACATGAAAATATTGTAAAAATTGCTGATCTTGGATTATCAACGATGATTCCTTCAACTAGTCCAGATCAACATCAAGCAGCTGCGAATAATATTTATCTCTTGTTGGGTCAGCATCTGAATTACTAATAAGTAATTTTTCTGCTTATTCAATCAAATCAGATGTATGGTCATTTGGTATTCTTTTAATAGAGATTTGGTTGAAAGATGGAGAACCTTATGAGAACAAGCATCAAGAATGGATTAAATCTGCTGTTCGTGATGGATGTGCCCATGAAAGACCATCTACTTGTCCCGTTGATTTCTACGACGATGTAATACGTCGATGTCTTACATTTCACGCAAACGATCGACCAACTTTTAAATTTTTGAATCAACGTTTATCTCTGAAAAACATACGATTATTAGAGATTGATAAAAGTAACTAATTTTCTATAGAAAGATTTTTATAAAATAGAAAAAAAGAAATGAAATCGTTTCATTAATTGTATCGTATGATAATTGTCAGTCATGTAAATAGTATAGGTATTTTCTAATAATTTAAAAATAAAAGAAAAAGAATTACTACGGACAACGTCTCTTTTTTTCCTATTAGAATAATCAAAAAATGAAGTTTCTCTTCAAGAAATCTTGTGTAATTACAAAAATCAAGCTAAAAGTGTCTCTCATCATTATGTTATACAGATGGGACACCTCAATAAATTAACTCTATTATGATTAGACAAATACTAAAATCAAGACAATAGGATAAATATGAAAAGGGTATCCATATGCATTAGTTGTTGTTGATGTTATCGTTACTCACAGGAGGTTTGCCTAACAAGATGTCAAATAGACAAAAAAAAAGGGAAGAGTTGTGTTCATTATATTTACAGAATATATAATAGTTGACGCTGATTCAAACAGCAAGATATTATTGTATGTTACATGCGATAACAAGAAGCATACGCTTTACAGTGAACAACCTCTATTATATTAAATAGTGTCTTCTTTTCTACTCTACTCTTTTCGAGTTCAATCTATACGACAAATTTCTATAATAAATTATCATGACTAATTTTGATACTATTCTTCCAAGAATTCCTAATATAAATGTACTAACAACAAATCATTCAACTCCTCGTGAATCCCTATTCTGGAATCAAACTCATATAACAAATATGATACGTACACATCATCCAATTCTATACGTTATATCGGTCTATGCATTACTTCTCATTATTGTTGGAACAATAGGTAAATTTTTAATTGAAAAACGTTTCGTTTAAACAGATAAAATTTTTCCTAGGAAATATTTTAACTATCATCATTCTATTTCGGCCATCCCTAAGACAACATACAACCATGCGTTATTTAATCGCCGTGGCTACAGCAGATCTCTGTTCGTTATATTCATGGAATTTAAATTTATTCTATAAACATTTAATTAATCCGAGTCAAAATGACCTTGAAGATCTATCTCTCATTTCTTGTCGTTGTCTATCATTTCTTGCATTCGTTAGTTTGGAATTATCATCATGGTTTTTAACATTAGTTAGCGTAGATCGATGTCTTAGTATATATTTTTTATTTTGGCATCGAAAATGGGGTCGAGCTAAATATGCAAATTATACTATTCTTACTCTTACAGTCATAATTATATTGACGAATAGTCATCTACTTTTTCTCAATGGATATAAACAACTGAATTGTATTCCACATGGAAAACGTACGTGTATTATTTGCTATTCAAATCTTCATGATCCCTATTATATATTTCCGAAATGGGAAAAAATACATGTTATCGTTTATAATATTATACCCTTTTCAATAATGTGTATTTCAAATAGTTTTATCATACGTCGTGCTGTAGCATCGATAGTTAATATTAAAAAAAATGCCAGTCAAAGTCATCGACAACATAAACAAAAACAATTAACATATCTTCTTCTATTTGTGACTTTTCTTTTTGTTCTATTAACAACACCAGTTATGATTTATAATGTTTTCCTAAGAAATTATTTAGCAAAGAAAAAACTATTGAAATACATCTTACATGGAACACTTTTATGTATGCAATTTACAAGCCATGCAGTAAGTTAAATTGTTGAACAGCAACACAAAAAGGACGATAGAAAAATTTTTATTTTAGATTAATTTCTTTGTTTATTGTTATGGCTCATCGAAATTTCGTCATGAACTCGACGCATTTTTTGCATTCAGAAAGAAAAATAGACTTTTTAACAGACTTTAAATAAACCGAAACTTTTCTTTTTGGCATGTATTATTTTTTATACAATGGTTTTCTTTGTTTAAATTAATTACAGTCAAAAACACAATATGTATCATTCACGCGGATAATTAAAATGTTTTCTTTTTTCGTTTGAACAAAAATTATTCTAGAACGTAGAGAACAGAAAAATACGGAAATTTATGCATTAGGTAAACCAGTTTTTTCTAAAGAGTCAATAGCTTGCTTAACACTCTCTTGGAATAGAGGACACCAAATCGGTTGTTCGACTGAATAGAATGGATTTTTTAATGCATAATCAGTGTACAATTCATAGGAGCGTTTTAATAATGCATCGACATTAACTTGTTTTATATCCGTTAATGCAATAAATTTACTACCAGTAACCGATTGAAAACAATTAAGTTTGAATTGATCGGTCTCTAATTCACGTATGCCAGTTGAATTGAGTTCGGGTGACAATTGGCATGCGATCGCATACATAGAATGAAAAATTGAAGCTAAGATTAATTTTTCATTACCATTTAATCTTGTTCGACCAAATTTTATTGTTACTAAATTGACAAAAACAACAATGAAATAGTATAAAACTAAAAAAAATCGAGTTCTTACCAGGATAATTTACTGGATCAGACAAATATTCAATAACATCATGACTTGTTGATGTTGCTACTGGTTGATCATCATCTGTAGTTGCTGATGGTGATGGAGAAGAAAAATCAATATTATTTCCTCGGGTGGGTACTCCATTAATAGATAGAATTGTATGGCCAACTTTGATTCCATCACGTTGACCAAACTCAACAGCAACACCTTTTTGACCTTGCTTAAGAACAAAATCCAGTGGATAGCTAAATGTTTTTTCTAATTCAATTTTTGGTATCGAATGTTCATAGGAAAATATTAAACCACCACTTCGATTTATAACATAAAAACTGTGCACAACCATATTTATCTGTAATAGAGTAACACAGAAATATAAATATTCTTTTATTGATTTGATATAAGATAACGATAAATATAGAATACAAAACACACAAAAAAAAGAAGAGTAAAAATAGATCTATCAATTAGAAAGGCCATCAAGATGAAGAAAAAATATTTTGATTCTAGTGACTGTTCATCGACGGTGGAGCTCGTGGAATATGTTCTTGTGGCGATGATGGTACTGCATTGGCGGGAGGTGGATTATGCGGCTGAGAAGCATCAGACTAGAAATAGAATAAAAAAACGAAAAAGCAATAGGTTACAGAAAAAGAAATGAATTGAGAAATTACCCCACGTGCATGAATCAGTTGATCGGAGAAACTTTGAAATTCTTGATCGGAATAGGGCGTACTGTCTTCAAGAGACTAAAAAATATAATTTTTTGAATATGCAAAAATCACGAGAACTACTTTCAGTGTTCATCTCTTACCTGCCATCCTTGGTCATTCTTAGCTTCAGTTCCATTCATTCCATGTTCAAATTCGTCAAATGAAAGCATACGATCATTATTTTTATCGAATTCTTTCATGACGTGTTCACGCATTCGATCCATTTCTTCTTGTTTTTCAATAGGGTCAGCTTCTGGTGTATTCTCGTGAATTTTTTCTGCCTGAAATTCAATTCAATCCTTCCTTGTTTTAATCTAGACAATTGCACATTTGATCAAACCTCTTTTAACATAATTGCTTCAATTTCTCCTTCATCTAAAAATCCATCACTGTTAACATCATGTAATTTAAAAAATGATTTTGGATTAAATTGATCGGCTTCAAGATGATCAACATCTTCCCAAACTTCTTCCATTTGATCTACACTACCCGGATGATTGACTTTTGGATGATGTTTCTTTTTTTCCACTGCTTCTTGATGTAACGTCTCTTGCTTTTTACGTTCTTCTTCGTTCATTTCCTTTTTTGGATAATTAGAAGAAAGAAATTAGAACAAGAGCAAATTAAATATTTACAGTTAGTTTTGCACGACGTTCGAATTCTTTTCTCATTTCATATTCTTTGAATTCTCGTTCACGTTGTCGATCGATTTCATCTAAATCTTTCGAAGCATGACGAATTAAACGTTCAAGATCGGCTTCAGCAAAATTCTCAGAATTTTGATGATCAATATGTTGAGGAAGTAAATCTTTTATATTTTTGCCATTTGGATTGCCTCGAGCTAGTTCCATTCGTTCTTTTTCTATAAAAATATCGATTTGAATTCTATCAGAAAACACAAAAAAAACTCTCTTACCGCTTAAATTACGTATTCTTCGTCCAACTAATTCTCTTAATCGATCCATTTCACGTTGTTTTGCTTCATCAAGTTTTGTTCGTACATGATGTTGAACAAGGCCAAGATGTTGAGCAATATTACCTGACTAAAATGAACTTAATGAGAATAAGAGACAAAGAAGATATTTTTGTTGTCATGTACTTTTATATCATCTAGTGATGCATTCTCAAGTTTCTTTTTAAATTCTGGATCATTCTCTAGAATTTCTACGACTTCTTTTAAATAGCGACTGTATTCAAGATTGTTTAACTAAATAAATAAAAAATAATAATTAAAACTCATGAAAAACATCGTCGAACCGCTTCATCCGAACTATCTTCTTTTGAATCAACCGTTTTTTTGTTTTTGTTCACATTTTCACCAACTGGAGGAGCACCAATTGTTGTGATAAGGAAAAAAATACTGAGTATACTAATTGCTAATTTCATTGAAAACAATCTGAAATGAGACAAGACATTGAAAGATTTTATTTTCATGTTTTATCATATCAAAAAAGGAAGAGCATCGATCAAATTACTTGACTCCAATCTCCTATCTTAGATTTACGACCTAGTATCAAATATGGACGTTATTGAAATTATAGGTGGTGGTCCAATGAAGAATGTGATCAAAAGAGGGCGTTCATCACTTTTGTAGGTAAAAACCAGGAATACAGATGACTGCTGAAGGATTCTGAACTAGAGTATTATTCGAATGAACGCTTACTGTTGTAGAAAACGATTAGCTATTCACTAGATATAAGACTAATCATCGTCATTAGTTTGTCTGAATCAGATCCTCGAATGGGAGGATGGATGGGAAGATTCTCCCATGGGATAATTCAGATTTTCCCATCCCGTCTAGGGAGTGTTTTCAAAGCTAGTTGACGATACAATGATGAAAACTTTCTAGTCGTGTGAAATCTTCGAGAATAGAGTATCATTAGCTGCATCAGACATTTGAACAAATTGATGTCTATTTAGAATTTCTACATTTATCTTTTTCAATGTTTTTTTCATATAGTATAATAATTAAAGTGTATATTATATAAACTTTTTTAGAGTAACACATTTGAGAGACTAACTTTCTAAAAAAAAACACATAATCTTGATTTTTGCATATTGTACCTGTCCATTTGTTTTCTTGTCTTGAATTAGCTATTGTGAATCCAACTGCGTTTGTTTACAATAACATACCTGTGTAAATTACGAGTTGGATAAAAAAGAATTTCCTAACATCATACTATTATCTTATAGTCAATAGTTCTATGAAAAACAATTTTTCTGCATTCCACAGTAATATAGCTAGCTCTTATGTAGACATACCTATGTAAGTTAGATTATGCACGATCAGCGATGATGTGATAAAATTCGTTCTATTTATTTGAATACTCGTTGAACACGCTCTAATAATCTCATACGAAATAAATTGATATTTTCATTAATGCATTGTGCGACTATGTGGTAAGCAGTACTTGAAAAAACATGTTCATCTCCTTCCGGTTACAAGTATAGTCCTATATGACATTCTGATTATTCTAATACATGTGTTGAGTAGAAGGAGAAACACGATATTTGCTGCAGAGCATATTGTAATGGGACGATTTTATACGCAGTACTACCGTCTGTTGTGACATTTTCGCTTTTTTCTTCGGTTTGTTTCTCTCTTTTCTTTATCATTCAAACCTGTACAAAAGTTTTTACCAGCCCAGGCAGAAGGATCCATATTCTGTTGGTCAATTATCACTCTACAAATCGAAAGATTGTTGCCATTTGACTGTGATACCTATCCTTAAAGCTAACCAGTAAATTTTCCACAGTCTTCTGTAGTAAAACGTAATCACTGCGATTTTGCTCGTCAATTAACAGACAACAAAGGAGATGCATTTTTAGCAGTGAAGTAAAAACAATGAAACTCATTTTTTTACATTTTGAATGTTTTTTTCAAAAGCACCATATCATGATGCGTGGGAGAAAGCGGTATTTGCAAGATTTCATGAGCCTTTTCATAACAAGAAAGGGCTTTTGAGTGCTCGGCCATATTGTTATAAACTAATTCGATGTTGTATGAAGTATCCAAGTCAGGATGCTTTGGAGGCTGAGCTATTTTCCTAATGTCAAGCAATTGTTCAAAGTGTGGGTGTGGGTGTGAATCAGGGCTGCCAGGTGTTCAGGTCCCAAATGGGGTACACTGATTTCGAAATGGGGTGCACGTCGGGTACAACTCAGTTGTAAATGGGGTACATTCGGGAGGTACGCAATTTACATCTTTCACGGTGCTCATCAGCGACGGAAATCAGTTCCGAAAACTACTTTCAATCTGGAAAGGGCATTCTCAGTTTTTCTTTTTACTATAAAGACTAGCTTTCAAATTCAAATCTTTATTTTCTAATAAATATGTTCACAATAAAATTTCATCTTGACATACATATATTCAATTCAATCATAATAAAACAATGCTTACTCAAAGCGAACCTTCTCGATTTATATTTACACTAACTGTTGCACGCTTTTTTTCGAAACTGTATTTTTGTTGACTTTTGGCTTACTTTATTAGTTGCGGTTGTGTTTGAGTAAAGAAAAAAATCTTCACATGCCATAGTACTATTCAATCTGATTTTCAATTCAGCAGCGATCGTTTCACTCACCATCGAATTGCGACTTGCTGTCCATGCGCTTTTCATATGACTAAAAACGCCTTCGACAAATGCATTCGAGCAAGGAATTGAGAACACATAAAAAATAATTTTGCGAATTTCAAATTGAGGCTTGACATCTTTCTCAATACGAGTAAATGTCGGATAAAGAGACAGAAATTTTCTGAATTTCAACCACAATATGGATGATAGTAGCTGTAGCATTGAAAAATGCAGATGGGGTACAAAATGCGTACCTCAGAGGTACAATTTGTTTTGAGGTACAAAAGGCTCAAATGGGGTACTGTACCCCCAAATGGGGTACGGCTGGTAGCCCTGGTGTGAATATCCTCTTCGCCCAAATCCACATCCACATACACCCTGAATTCATCATTTTGTTGTAAAATCAGTTTCTTGTAAACGTTGTCAAGTTTATGTTCATGAGACTATAAAATCTGTCAATGTGTATTGGTAAGCTGAACATGATCGAATAAAGGATTGAAAATTACGAAAACACTAAGAATTAAACAAAACGCAAAGTTACTTGAATCATTATGTGATATCAATTCTTTTGAATATTTACGTAGAATTCATGAAAATTGTTGAAAATTTCGTTGAAAATAAAAATGTCCCTTGAAAATAGAAACGAAGAACCTCTACCATGTAAAGTTCTGGTAAGAATCAGTAGCGTTTGTTTGATCGATCTTTAATTTATGTATATTTCTATGGTTGCGTCTTGTATTATATAGTTTATATGTTACCATGCATACAGACTACACAGAAGGAACATCTTTAAATAGCAAAATAAAGAATTATAGTAGGATACTATTTTTTAAATGTTTAGCACATGTTATTTGTTTTGCTTTTCGATCATGGTTGTTGGTAATAACGATAGGTCTAACTTAATAACAACAAAATCACTGCATTTTACAACAGTGTAGTCACATGAGGTATTATGATCAGTAATATGCGATTCTGATGATGAATAGATTTGATGCGTTTTGGAGATTTCCAGGAAACGTTTTTTCGATTTTACTGGGACCGGATCATAATGGGCATGCATAATCGGCTATTTTGCATTTCCCGGCAACGCATAAAAATTTTCAAGAGTCTAATATAGATTTCGATAGAGGAAAGACAAATACATAGGACACACTCAACCTATCGAAAGTGTAATATGCGGTAACAGAATACTTGTCACGTACAGTACCTTGAATGTGCACACTCAACACGAGAGCGATGCCCTGTGGCTCTCTTAGAGGCACTTATATTGAGTGTGATCGGTGTGCTCCATTCATGAAACCCATTTTATATGAGGTGATGCGTACGTCTAACCCACATGTACGCCCTTCGCCACACTCGCGCTTGGTTTTTTCCCAGAGAGGGGGGGGGAGCTATTCGTTTTTGATACTGTGACCGAGTTTACTAGAATGCATGAGATTCGTGGAAATTAATTTTCTAGTTTTGGAATGCTATTTGAATTCCAGGAGTGTTTTATATTTCTTTAGGTTTATTTTTAGGTTTTTTGGTATTAATTCCGCTGTGGGAGTCATTTTCGATTTTTGAAAAAAAATTTATTTTTAGGAAAGTCAAAAATTATTTCCGGAATTTTTGTTTTTGGAAAAGTTCATGCATGTTTCCAAAACGTTTTTAACTCATCGTATGGGTGTGAGCAACGACATGTTCCTTGGCATGAGCAGCGGCGTGCTTCTTGGTATGAGCAGGGGCGTGCTTCTTGGTATGAGTAGGGACGTGTTTTGTGGTATGAGTAGGGACGTGCTTGTTGGTATGAGCAGGGGCGTGTTTCTTCGTATGAGCAGGGGCGTGTTTCTTGGTATGAGCAGGGACGTGTTTCGTGGTATGAGCAACAGCCTTGATTGATCATTTCATTTGATTGACAAATATTGTAGGGCTCATTTTTAATTGTTGAAGTTGACGCTACTGGACATGGGCAAGCCTATAAACAAAAAAATTCCGATAGTTTTATTTGTAGGTATCTTTTTTTGAAAATAATTTACTATATTTTCAGTAACACCTGCATTACGAGCCTCCCGTAAAAATGTTTGTGAATCCAACAGTGATGACCCATAACGACGTACATAAGCATCAGGACATTCTTGAGTAACGCCCAGGTATTCAAATTTTCGAACTACATGCACTGGAGGCTCATCATGAATAACAACAGTATGAGTGGGACGTGGATACTTCATAGGAGGAGGAGCGGGCTTAACAATCGTACGGCGTTCTGGTGGAGGTCCATAGGGAGTCCATCGTTCCAATATAATATCAGCTAAAAACCAAAACAATAATAAGCTGAATTTTTCAAAGAGAACAACAAGAAAAATGCAAAAAAGGTCTTTTACGTGGCATTTCTGGCGCGGGAAAACGTTCAACAACAAGAGATCTTGGTGGAACAGGTACAGGTGGTAACGGACGAATAGCTGTAAAATAAAATACAATGATTCATTTAATTTATGTAGTTTAAGTTTCATTTTTTCAAACTGGTTTTCCCGGGAACTGGAGCCGGTCGTGGTGGTGGTCGTTCGCGGAAGATAATTGGAGGCGGCGGACACCGAGGTTGTTCATGTTCATGTATGACAAGTGATGGTGGCGGTGGTGGTTGTTCTGGACGCTTTTCTATTATAATGTTTGGCTAAAATTTTACAAAGATTAGTAAGATTAAATTTGTACATAATGCGTTTCATTACTTCTGGTGGTGGAAGAGGTGGTGGTTGAAGACACCTAAGAGAAACTCGTTGCTTATATGTTGCTGGAGCTTCAGTTGTTGCACTGCGAATAATTTCTGGGTTAGATTCAAAATAAATATCATTACCAAATCGTTGAAGATATCGACTCGTTTCTTGTGAACTACGACTATGAATTGGTGCATTATTAATGCAGCTGCCGTTTGCTCGTATACTGCCATATGCAGTATTTAAATTACTATCGGGATCTCTACACAGATCACATCGACGAATAGTATTATCACGTCGATCTCGTTCAATATAGTATGCATCAGTTGTAGAAGTCACTTCTTCATCACTGAAACAGAAACGATTTCAGACAAAATGTTAAAAGTTCAGTAGAATTTTGTGATATTTTGCAAGTGTCAGTAAGCGCCAACGAAATATTTCAAGAACACTCTGATAAAAAGCAGTTTCGCATTAAACCATTGCAGGTTTTGTACTAAATCTTATTCAAGTATCGTAGCCACTACGTTCCACAAAAGCGATCGCTTCATAGTTTTACTTCCGACTACTCTCTGAAAACAAAATCGTTTTCTCTAAGACTCAAACAAACTTGAAAATCCTTTCGGAAACTTCTAAAAACTTGTGAGTGGATTCCCTAGACCTCGCAACCCTAGGATTTGCTACAATGCCGATTCCCATACTATTAAGGTATTCTGGAGTACCGTTTGTTGACGACGGAAATCTGACCAAAGAGTTGGTATTTGAATGGGTATGCGAGAATACGCTTCCGGTTTCCAAAATCTTTCCTCACAAGCCCTTTCGATTTCCAAGTATACAGGGTATTGAAAAAGTATGCTGAAAAACCAAAAACCAGTTTCTGACTTATTCTAATTCTTAAAAGGTTTCATGGTCTTGCATGCATCACAAAACAGAACATGATCCGCGTTCAAAACATTTCAGAAAAATGTTTTTGGTGATCAAGCTGAACCTATCAAAGGCGAAAGTTTTTATTGTTATAATAAGTTTTTTCTAAAGATTCTTGTAGACATTGCCTGAGCATATATTAACATCTCAGGATACCGTACAATTTATTGCGGCTGAAGACTAATAATTGAAGTCGAGGTGGATATATATGGTTTGCTTTCTTTATGACTTTTAGTGGAAAGATGCGTTTACTGAAAATTATTTTACAATAAAAGCTGTTTCTACGATTTAGAATTCAAGATAAATTTGAGTCGCTGTTCAGGGACAGGATTAATAGATCGGTTTTATCTATGCCACTACCTAGAGAAAATGCTGCTGCCTTATTCAGCCGAGGGTTCAATGAGTCGAAGAGACTATTGTTGTTTGTTTTCTTTCTGTTTAGATTAAACATTCTATGTCGATCGTTCTGCCCACCAGATCCTGAAGGAAAACACACGATATCGCTGAAACATGGAAGTAATATCCGCCGAAATTATGGAAAAAAATAGGGAAAGTTTGCGATTGGAATACTGCTCCTATGCTCCAGTAAGATCGTGTGTTCTCTTACAGGATACATTGATTTTCAGGAAAATTTGCTGCCGGTTTCTGCACAATCCAATGGGAGGAAAATCTATATGGGCTATAGCGATCCGGTTGTCCTCGATGTAAAGCGAGAAGAATAAAACCTCCAAAATGTGTAATCCACTTCCGGCATTGGTATCCGATGGAAATCTTTATTTGCTTCGTCGATTTTGAAGGACTCGGAAACTATCTCAGAGTTTTCCATGAAACTGTTTGCGTTTAGACGGAAATTTGTGGACGATTTATTACATTGAGTAGAAGTTGTAGTATTCGAAACCCTATTTTTGGCACTTCGAATAAGCGTTTCGTACAGAACCTGATTTGTACGGAACGTTTTTTCAGTGAAGCTTCAATATCCTAGTACGAAATTCATCTTTATTAATTCGAAATATGTGTTTATGATTAGATATGCATTGTTAAGTCCTACTTTCCATATCGATTAGTATAGCATGGTTCACGTATCTCTCCAGTTGGTTCATCGCCGAACATTATTCCAAATCGATAAAGTAGAAATAAATTCTTAAAATAAAAACAGACAAATGATCATTAAGCTATATATATATCATATAAATATCAAATGCTGGATGAAGGATGAACACAATTATAGATATATACAAAGTTCAAACGTATTTTTGTTCAGATTCATTTGAACTTGCTGATAACTAACTAGAAGTATTAATGAAGCAAAAAAGTACATGAATTGCTGTTGCATCATTCTCATAAATAGTTCATGAACGTTAGAGTACCTTTTGTTTTTAGAGAGATTCTGCATTTCATTTTTTAGCTATTCTAAAACAAATATAAATTATTTTTCCACTATATTTTAAAACAACTACAAATTATTACCTTTCATTATTTATGCTTGAAATAAATAAAAGTCTGTAAAGTATACGCGAGTAAATATAACTTCTGCTAGTAAATCAGATGTATCATTAATTTTTGTTTTTCATAATATATATGTATGAAAACAATTGTGCATTATAGTCAGTTATACTTGCATTTCAAATATGATTTATTATGCGACACTTTCTTCCAATGTGAACTACGGAAACGAATAGTTTACGCTGTTTTAAAAATTAAAACGCATAATAACTAAATTTATGCGGAAATTTAATCTAAATAAAGCGTAAATCAATATTTCTAGTTAGTTCACATTAGAAAGCTAATAGAAATAATGAACACACATAAATTGAACATCATATGCACTACCATAGTGTATTATTCCTTCGACTGAAGGGAGGGTCATAAGAAATTAAACCCGTTTGTTTGAAGACTACCAATGAAAAAACATTTCGAGCAAAAACCGCTAGATATTGTGTTGATAGCTACTGCGGTTTCTAAAAATCATGTTGTTAATATCAGTGGATGACACTCACTGACGCTAACAGTTTCTTGATGTTATCTGTTGCTATGATCTCCATTTTGATTTGTTACGTAATATTTCTACTATGACTAATCCTCGTGACTGATTTTTCGTTCGCTATTACTAATGCTGGTAGGGAGATCTGAGTCCTCCGCACCCAGAATTAGTCTGAGCCCCCTCACCCAGGACAAACAATCAGATACTAAGATCTGATAAGAATCTGAATATGATCTTGTATGATCTTACAAGATCATACGAAAATCTGACAAAAAATCGTAGTCTCTGAGATCCTATATCGAGTCGCACAGTCACATTCTTGAAAGATCTTATTAATGTGTAAGACCTTTCAAGAATCTGACTGTGCGACTTGATATAGGATCTCAGAGACTACGATTTTTTGTCAGATCCTTGTTAGATTTCGCCCGTATTCAAAGATCTTGTAAGTATTTCATAAGATCTTATGTCAGATTTTTCGACCTGGGCACACCTAAATTCCTGGCGTCGCTACTAGCTATTACGTAGTTGTTGGTGTTTCTTCTTCCCAGTTATTATCAGTGTTATTATTATTATTATATTCTTCACTGATGATTATTGTTATACTTCTTCATTAGAAAATAAAATATATTAAAATGCTTAGGGCATACCAAAAGTAGTGAGAGTGACACTTTTTAACCCTAAAATAGACCTAAAAAACTTTTCTTTCTATACCGACTGATAGAGAAAAAGAAGCTATATCTTTTTATGCGATTTGATCATGCTTCAACTAATATAATGATAATCATTTTTGATAAGATCTGTTTCATTTGTATGCGTCCTTGTTATATAAATACTGATGGGTGCTTTCACGCAGGTCCTCCCACTTTCTACAGGGCATTTTGCAGGCAAGATTTAACCAAGTTAGTCTTGTAGCTCGTGTCGAGTTGTGTAGGAAGCCATACTTTGTTTTCAGCGAAATCATGCGCTAAGTCCTGCAGATAGGGCTCAAAATACGATTTTCTAGAAATCTGATCCGGTAAACCAACAACTTTCGGTTTTTGTGAACACGATATGAAAATCTAAATTAGACCATTGGATAGAGCATACAAAGTTGTCTCTATGCAATAATTTTCGAGTGTGTACGTAAAAATCTCGAAGCGCCGGCGTACCTGTAAAAGCCGAAAAAATGCGATTTTTTCTAAAATTGAGCACTCTAGCAAACCTACATGTGGAACTAGATATCATGATTTCTTAGAACCAAAATGAAGCTTAAATAACGGTAGTTCGAAATAGCTTGATTATATTTTCAGAATACATTGCTTAGTTGAGATATTCGACATCTAGAAATCAGAGATTTCTGAAAATCCTATGTTAGACCTTCATTTTCTCAAGAACCACGCGTCAGAATTCGTTGAAACTGTTTTTTTTTCAGTAGCCTTCAGTAAGTACTACCACTCGCTAAAATATCAGCTCCCCCATTTTGGAATTACGAACCTTATGATGCGTAGAATTTCTTAAAATTTTTCGATTATGATTGTGAAAATAGTAATTTCAAGGATGCACAGCTATATGATAATCTTTTATGCTGAATCCAAATACGCTGATAGCTGCAACCGATTAATCAAAGAGATTTCTAATATAAAGAGAAAAAGTAAGAAGACGTAGGTACATATAGATGTTTCGAGCAGCACGTGAAATTTTTTCACAATCTTTTTGAATACGTAATCGTCTAGACTGAAGAAAACGAATTTCTTTTTGTTGACAATGAATGATGACAACGTTTTTGATTATATGGGTGTCTAATACTAAGATGATTGATGAGTAGCAATTGTCCAAGGTGTCGAAACTACCTTGAAAGAACGACACGTGCCGTTACTGCATCCACCCAGACTCCGAACACCGTTTCAGTTTCCTGTTCGACGATGTGGGTGTGGGTATGAGGGATGTACATCTCTAAATGAGATCATACTTCTCCGATGGCGCACGACCACTTTCCCCACTGAGGATGCTGCATGTCCCGCTAGAGATGCTGCATATCCAGCGGGATAAGTAACAACATCTCCAAATCTCGGGATATCCGACACTACTCATTCAGCTCAGCATGCACAGCTATTACCAAGTTTCACTATCTGATCGATTGAATAATAGGTAAACACTAGAGAAGAAGCGAAACCCCCCAAGAAACTATGTTTATGTACGGTTTTCACTTAGTTCTCTCTATACTAGAAATCTCTTTGGCTGATCGGTTGCAGCTATCAGCGTATTTGGATTCAGCATAAAAGGTTATCATATAGCTGTGCATCCTTGAAATTACTATTTTCACAATCATAACCGAAAACTTTTAAGGTTTCACACTGCGAATTTAAAAAAATCCTAAGCATCATAAGTTTCGTAATTCCAAAATGGGAGAGCTGATATTTTAGCGAGTGGTAGTACTTACTGAAGGCTACTGAAAAAAACAGTTTCAACGAATTCTGACGCGTGGTTCTTGAGAAAATGAAGGTCTAGCATAGGATTTTCAGGAATCTCTGATTTCTAGATGTCGAATATCTCAACTAAGCAATGTATTCTGAAAATATAATTCAGCTATTTCGAACTACCGTTATTTAAGCTTCATTTTGGTTCTAAGAAATCATGATATCTAGTTCCACATGTAGGTTTGCTAGAGTGCTCAATTTTAGAAAAAATCGCATTTTTTCGGTTTTTACAGGTACGCCGGCGCTTCGAGATTTTTACGTACACACTCGAAAATTATTGCATAGAGACAACTTTTTATGCTCTATCCAATGGTTTAATTTAGATTTTCATATCGTGTTCACAAAAACCGAAAGTTGTTGGTTTACCGGATCAGATTTCTAGAAAATCGTATTTTGAGCCCTATCTTCAGGACTTAGCGCATGATTTCGCTGAAAACAAAGTATGGCTTCCTACACAACTCGACACGAGCTACAAGACTAACTTGGTTAAATCTTGCCTGCAGAATGCTCTGTAGAAAGTGAGAGGACCTGCGTGAAAGCACCCTGTTGAGTATTTTTTGAACAACTTTTTATAGAAACAAGATAGAGAAGTTCGGTTTTCACCAATAGAAAGAACAGACGAAGACGCGTCGAATCATATATCCCAAAAGTTTCTAATACGACATATCCAGTTTGTTTTATTCGATTTTGTAACGGTCGAAAAAATAATTGTTTTTATGAAAAAACGAAAAAGCGCAGAACAGCGAGGTTTTCACAAATTTCGCTGGAAAATGGTATTAGGAGTTCGACCAAAATACGTATTATTCATTTGAGCCATTCACGCTTTGTAGATCTTCAAGTAGTGATCTGAATTTGCACTTGATAATTGAAAATTTATATTGAAAATGACTCACTAGATAGGTTGGCATGAAAAAGACCAATGGAAAACCTTACGAAAACCATATTATAAAACTCTGTAATACATCATTGGATGCTTCTTCATCTGTTCTTTCCAATGCTGAAAACCGCAGTTCTATCTTCTTTCTATCAAGAGTTCTTCAAAAAATACTCACTAGTACAAGTAGTGCATGACCAGCCGAAATATGTTATGATATTAGTTGAAGTACGATCAAATCGCATAAAAAGATAGAGCTTCTTTTTCTCTATCAGACGGTCTAAAAAGAAAATATGTTTAGGTCTAGTTTATGGTAAAAAAGTGTCACTCTCACTATTTTTGATATGCCCTAAGTATATTATTCTATTAAATGTGTAACCATGTTTCAACAATAAAGCACAGCAGGCAGTCTATGTAAGCTCCCTAATTGTTTAGCAGGCTAACTATTAGCTTTACTATTATACATTCCCCAAACGAGAGCCTTATACATGTTATATTCGTAGCTAATGTGACTCAGTTGTGGCGATGTGTACCTGATCTTTATAAAAATCAGGTAGCAGACCATTCTATGGGTAGTGTAGTGAACTATATGTTCCTATTAGCTCAAAGTCATTTTGCAACGACAAAGTTATGTTAAAAGTTAATATCAAGCTTAGTATAAAAAGTAGTGCACGCTACCCTTTCCGTCCTTAGCACACACTCTCGCAGCCAAACTAAGGATCTTAGGAGATGCTTGAGAACAACATTAATTATAAACACTTTAACTCCAAAAAACTGTGCTTTCTGTGGTGCTACCGTGATGCTATGGGTGTGGATGTCATTAATTCATGAAAATTTTTCAGCAGTAAAATCACACAAGAAGATAACTATCGAGCATGAATTATTTTAGGCAATTAACATATTTAGTTTTTCTCTAAGTACAACAATTGCGGAGCTAGTGGCACGATCAAATGTAAAACTAAAATCTAGGACCAGATGGTAGAGAATGAGTTTAGAAAAAAAACGCCTTCTATACCTGATTTGAAAAGTGGAGTGACTGCCTAATATAACTTCTAATAAAAATGAGAAAAAGAAAACAAACACCTTTATCGTTTTAATAAGCAGAAAATAAAATTTAAAAAAATTTTCCCATCAGCTCCCTCAACCCAGAGCAGCAAAAGATAAACGAGAGAAAAAATTATATAAACTACAAATTTAGAAATTCGGCAAGGCACACCTGAGTGTGGGTGTCACTGTCGATACAAATTCTTGTGGTTATCTCTATTGTTTTGAATTTGTAATTTGTTTAAATGTTTTGTTTTGTTATCTTTTGTTATTTTAAGACTGCGGTTTTTTCTCATCTATTTTCGAAGCCGTAACAAATATTTCACTCTCCATTCATATTCGAAGTCGAATTATACAGCACATGAAAAAGTAAAGATGCGAATAGAGTTTTATTTGGAGGAGGACCAAGGGGGAAAATTTGATTTCGTGATTCTACTGATTCTATGTGACTCTGTTGATTCTATATGATTCCGTTGATTCCATTGATTATGTGTGATTCCATCGGCTCTGGAATCACTATTCATATCACTGTATTTCTCGACTATGACGCCGTAACATCAATAGGAACATTATAGAATCATTATAGAGAAGAACTCTGAAGACTCCCGATCACTCCATTCAATAGAAAAATCAGTTCACTCTTAATCGTAAGAATCATTGAGTCGAGCACAAGAGATATAATCTGTATATTGCTGAATCTCAGCCAAAAGCGTGTCAGTCATCATTTCACAACAGTAAAGTAGCATATTGGAACGATATCTAACCGACCAATGAACCAATGTGGTTGGTTTCATTGTTTTACCAAGACCACTCAAAGAATTACAGATCGTAAATGAGCTTTCTCACCCGACAAAGATGTCAAAATGTTAGATTTGGTTGGAATCAACATTAAGTCACGGAAAAAATTGGATTACTGTTGTTTCGCGTGTTTTCATTATTTTCCATCCTGATTACCACTGTTGCTTTGATTTCAAAACCGGAGCGCATAGTTAATATATACAATTTGTAAAAGTTCCATGGGATGGAGAGAGAAGTCCTCGCCTCAAACATAAAAAAGTGAAGGATCGTAAAGAAAGTAAGCTCCAAAATTATACAGCAGGCTGAGCGCTTAAGTAGATGAGTTTAATTTTCATTTTTCTTTCTGTATCAAACGCAAAAGATAGTCACTTCGTGTATATTAGCACCAATTTTTCCTAAAAAGTTGAGAATCGTAGGATATTCTATAGACTCTGTTCGAACATCATTATTTGTGGCTTTCAAGACGGAGAAAGTACTGCGATGGCACAACAGCATCGCAAAGAACATACAAAAATTACTTTATGGGACTGAAACTGTGTATTTTCAACCATTCGCGTTGACGTCGTTATTAACTAGGCTAACAACTGCATGCATTTCTTGTTGTATGTATGGAGAGAAAGTTCTGTGCGAAGTATACTGTCTTTCATACTATGATCATCGCACACGATGTTCTGCAGCATGTCCACACAGAACACAAAAACACAAAGACATGAATATAGAAGGATGGTTTTGTACTGACTCTCGGCTGATGCATCATCATGAAAATCCGGTCTTATAACTTACGAGCGCGACCAAGTAACATATAGCCATGGAGTGTCAACAGAACGCAACAAAAGATAGATTAATCAGTTGGATTAAAGAAGACATTCATTCTTCATTTTAGTTGTAAAAGAGAGCCTTTCACACCTGCCATAGGTTCTTGTAGAAAGAGAAGCTACCGATTCTTCGTGGCTCACAATTTTTTACTTTTTAGCCGTACTTTGTCTGGCAGTAATTAACTTCTTTGAGACGTTACTAAAATGTACATTTTTCTGAATCCAAAAGAATCCGATGGCATTGTTATTAATGAGTTTTGAAAATCTATACTGTTATGTCTTGAGTTCACTGGGCTATCTTTATTTACGTAAAAACACAACAACTTCATAACAATAAACAAAAAGGGCAAGAACGAGAGGAAACAAAACAAAACAAGAGAGAGAGCTGACCTTCATCATATAGATAAAGATAAGATATCAGACCTAACACCCTTACTCTCCAAGAAAAATGCTTTTTGGATACAAAATACTTTTTTTATGAGAAACTGTAACAACAAAATAATAACAAAATAATAACAAGAAGAAAATGAAAGAAACGAAAGAACATCATAGAAAAAGAAAATCATTTGATATAAATGCACCAGGTAGAAAACGAAGAAAACATTTTCATTTATCACTGAGAGAAAACAATATGAGAAAAAGGTGAAAAAAAAGAAAAACAACAAAAAATATAACGAGAGAAAACTTGTTTGTATTGTTCACGATGATGGTCATATCAATAATGTGGATGATGATGATGTTGAGAAAAAAGAGAGAAGAAGGAAAAAAAATAAAAATATATAATTAATACGAACAGCAAAAGCATTAATGTCGAAATACTTTTCGATAATGAAAATAATTGTGCCGATTGAATATGTTCCATGGTAATTGATGATGAGCTGTATCGCGACTTTGTCGATCTTTTAAGCTAATTAATAATTCTTCGCCATCATTTCGAACATGTTTATAATTAATACGATATAAACGAAGAATTTGTCGGATCATTAACATTGGAAAACGAGGATACCATTTTCGTTTTATTGAATAATAATAACGGTACTTTTTAAGTACCGTGTTTCGTTGATGATTTCTTCTATGGCGGGCTTGTATGGATCGGTTTTGATGTATTTTACGGTTTTTTGGTGGTACTGTTTCTTCTGTATCATTGCATCGTAATATTGTATTTAATTTTTGCATGTTGATGTTCTTGATTTTTTTTATTTTTCGATGTTGGTAATGGTGGCAGTTTAATTGAATTAAATGCGATGAACATTTCATTCATTTTCCTAATTTTGATTTTTTCAAATGTCCATCGTTTAGTAATAGGTCGTATTAACAATGTAACAGCCATAACATCATGCGTAGCATAATTACTCAACTCGAGCCGTCCGGCCTGGAAACGACCGGTTCCGGATAGTACCGTTGATTTTGTGGAATCAGTATTCCAGTTGGGAATTTTTCCGGTGTTTTCCGATCAATTCCTGCCGGAAAAGTCCGGCCGTATTTTTGACCGGAATACTGCTTCCATGTTCCAGCCATTTCTCGTGTTTTCCTGCAGGATGTGGTGACTTTCCCGCATATTCCCTGGAGTATCCTACGGGATCCGGTGGCCGTAATGTTCGACCTGGGGAATCATATTAATTCGATCAACATGTGATAAAGATGAATGACTCGATGTTAAACTTGATGACCAATGGCTTAATCGACATGATTTGCCTAAAAATAAATTACATGCATACTTAAGTGAATTTTGGAGAGATCAGGGTTCATTGATTTGGTATGGTGATGGTGGATGACAATCACATGATGAATGCTGATTATGTTATTGGATAATTTCATCATCATTAATCTTATCATTTCGATGAGACAGGCTCTGGACCCCGCACTGGGCCCATACCTAATTATACCACGCTGAAAAATGTGGTTGAATACATGAAAACCGACAAGAACCAACAGATTCCGTCGGATTCCAGGTTTCGGATCCACAGGATCTGAATTCGATACATATCCGATTGTATCCTACTTGGGATCCGATGCGCCAAAAAGCCTGCTATACTCAACTTCTAAAAAGCTCTTTTGTACTAAATAGAATTTTAATATTTTTTAAAATTCTTCCGTCGGATCCGCCAATAGTTCCGAAACCCAGAATCCAACTGGATTTACTCGGTTAGTAGGATGTTTTAGGATCCGATCGAATCCGTCGTCGGATTAGCCGACCTGGGTATCTACAATAAAAAGAATATTCAAGTTTAATATTATTTTTTATTCTAAGAATCATTACAAGAACTCTGTCGGTTACATTAATATTGAAATTTTATCGTACGAATGATATCCATTGTGTTGATTGCTTTTCAGAATTGATACCAAGGTATAATTTTCATTTAAACGAGAAAAAATAGAAACATAGTTTAAGATCTACTAAGAAAGAAACTATTTGGTTTCACAATTTTTTTAATTCTAACTTATAAAGTTTCTTCATGGATTTGGTATACCCGAGTATCAGTATCCAAAGTATTACCAAATAATCAGCTCTTCAACTTGAACATAATCTGCAATAGAAACACAACTAATTACATGATGACTTTGAAATGACTTTGAAATGACTTACCTCTAATAACTATGATTCGATCATCGGTATCACTACTAAGTGAATCAACACCAAAAATTTATTTTTCTTAAAATATTCGATCGATGGGCATTATACAAATTTAGTCGTATTAGCCTTTTCAGCTGGAATTTGAAGAAAACCAATTCTTCATAGGTACTATATTTGAAAATCGACAGAAAATAAACCAGAAGAAAGATAATAAATTTCTACCTACAATATTACCAGAATTGACAATATTCACGTCCTATCTCATCAAACAATTCGATGAAAATCTAAAAGAGAACAAAAAGATTTCACTAAAATCAGTTTTCTTTGCTTTCTGATTTCTGATAGCTTTGCCATCAAGGACGAAATGGCGGATTTTCGGGATTGCCAATCCATGAACAATCCGAAAAAAATCCGAAAATCCGCAATCCGCCGTTTCCCCCTTGTTTGCCATCTTTTGATTGTTTACAGTGAAGTTGAATATTGTTCATGTTGATTCGTATAAAACATGATTATTATGAGTTCCATCTCCGTAACCTGTATGCATTAACGCTCATCAAGCCTACCTTAAGAATTAAAGCATTTGAAATAGAAACAATTTAAATATATACTTTAAGTTTGAAAAAATAACTAATGCGATAAGAAGAAAACGTTCAAATAGTAATCCCTAAACGATAATAAAACGAGCGAAAAATTGCTCTTTGTTTGCATCGTACAACCAAAATGAAAGCTATATACTACTGACATCGCATAAATTAATCTTTTTTTTCCTTGCGCAACATTTCCATTTCTACGTCTAAAAACCTACTCTGATGGGTTAAACGTATATTTTTTGTATATTTATCTCAAAATTTAAATTTTTTAACAATGTATTAAAATGTGGTTATAAAAGAATTCCGATTAATCGACTTTCTATTCAATATCACGATGAAATCTGATGTTATCTCCGATTTTTCAACATAATTCGATTAATCCCGATTTTACGTTTCTTTTTCGATAAATCACCAAAATCGAGGCGATTTTCACGACATGGGATATTCTAGCATTTTTCATTCACTTTTAAGTTAATTAAGTTATGAAAAAGATGTCACCAAATTCGAACTAGTTATTTGTTAATGTGATATGTGTTGTAAAAGATTAGAATTAGATTAAACTCTGCTGTGCTTAATAAATAACGTGTTAGACCTTATAGAGAATTCGCCTATTGAACTCATTGATTGTTTGTTTTTGAAAACTTCTATTTAACATCTTTCGTGAGTTGTATATGTCAGAGAATTTGCTAAAAATGATATATAATGAGTTGCGTAGAATGTAATAACTAATATATTTCAATTGCAGCATATCAGAGGTGAGCTGATTTGTTTTCGTTTCATTTCCAATGCTATCTTTTGAAATAGCAAACATATTTATTTATTTATTTATAATCGTCTTTCCCATAATTCAAAATACTCATACTCAATAATTATGTCTTTCTTATGATAAATGAAGAGCTATATAAGAAGAAACACAAAAAAAATCAATTTTGAACAGCCGATAAAATATGAAAAGATCATTAGTTTTTATTGTTTATTAATATAAATGAATAAGTTAAGTTAATAGCTCGTAAATCTATAACTTTGTGGAAACTCAGACATGACGCATGGCAAAATATATTCATACATATGTTCTACGAGTGTTTTGTAACATTGATCTGCATTTTATCGAAAATTCCTAGATTATATTACATCAATTGAAAATCTTGTTTGCTTTATTAATCTGAATAGCTATGACATATTTTATTTGAGTAGTACATCAGCTGGTTTTTAATGCTAATCTCTGACTGATCAAACATTCTGTAAATACAAAAGATGGCGATGATGCCTCGATTTCATTTTGATTTTGTCCTTGTTTGCATGGGTATGGCATGCTGTTCTCCTCTATTTCATATGGAAGGATGAAAAAGAAAAAAAATAGCTCAGAATATTATAAGGTTCATGTGTTTTATTAAATTTTAGAACAAAAAAATGAGTGCTTCTCCTAACAAGAATCTTGCATACAAGAGATTGAAATTTTTTTTTTGAAACGTTCGTTTTCTTTTTTTTCCTGTTATTCTTCTAAACGAAAACAAAACAGTCGGAAAGACGGGAAAATAATATAGCAACCAGATAATCGAGCCAAAAACTGTGTGAAGCATCGTCAACATCGCCAGAAGTTCCACGAGAGAAATGCAAAAGCACGAAATGTTGCCATAAGTGAGTGTTCTTCGGCGTCGTTGTATACTTATTGACGTATATAGTGAGCTCGAAACCGATAGCCTATAGGAAACGTGTTATTTTTATCTGTATTCTACTCGATCGTCTTCTTTTTGAAAGCAGAAGTTTTTTTTTGTTTACCTACTATTCGATTCACTGCTGTAGAAAAAAATTGATTCGTTCCAAGGTTCTTTCTATTTACTTTATTGCTTATCTTTATGCTATCTATTTACTATCATATCAGTAAAATGTAATCTTTTTTCTTCTTAATACGTACAGAATAAAAAAACGCGAATCAATCACCATTTTACTCTGCTTCATTGGTTTTTTTAATAAAACGGATGGTTTCATTGCCAGTTAACGCGTACAAATTTTAATTAGTACGTATGCATAGCATGTCAACCGAAACAAAAATGTTTCCTATAATGTGAGTATCCTCAGTTGTAACACGATAAAACACATAAAAAATATGTAGAGAAGAGTCACCATCTGAAAATATCAATAGGGAACATTCTGATTAATATATATACATGTATATATATATATATATATATATTAGGCCTATAGAATGTAGAATTTTCTTCTAAGAGTAAATACATGCAAATAATTTATTAATTGACATTGGTAATTGAACTGCTATGTCAACAACTGTTATTCAAACATAATTCATTTAGTAGATTTTTCTTTATTTCAAATTGTAACTAAAATAGTATGGCGGACTAGAGTATGTTCAATGACAGCGTCACCGTCAATATTCCTCTTAAATCTGACGATGACACTGAAGCAAATATTAATAACGATCCGCCTGCTTATCAAAATCCACATCTTGACTTTAATGAAGGACGGAAAGATTTTAGCATTGCTATTGTATTTGGGATACATATTATTGTCGTCATCGTCGTGGGCATAGTTTTAGGTTTACCGATTGTGCTTCAGCATATGAAACAAATTTCTTTAGCGAAACGACTCCGACTATCGGCTGATTTCGGCATCAAACATTTCGTTTACTCATTGAGTGGTGCAGCAGTTGTCGGTGGGTTACTGTCTTTCCTCACCTTTTTCGCTTTACAACTCTGTGCTGGTCACTTGATAAAATGTTCATTTTTTATGCTTACAATGATGCAAATTCTGTTAGTAGTAACTTTCTTTTTCGTATTCCCCCCACTGTGCGTCATACCAGGAGTGTTTATATTATTCACGCTGATTTTTATATCATGTGTTCGGAAACGTATCGCTTTTGCTGAAGCTCACCCACAAGCAGGGTGCGCTTCTCTACGTAGTCATCCATCATTGATACTAGTAACAATCCTCATGCTTATCGTAGTTTCTTTGGTTTATTTTCTGATGTCTTATATTCATGGGTGTGATACGTGCCTTAAATATTGATTTAACAACTAATAAAGTTAACATGACTAACAATCAAACTCAGTCAGCTACAATTTATGGTTTAAGTACAAAAACTATACCAATAAGGGCACTAACTTTTCTAATGAACGAATCAAGAAAAATAACCACAACACACCGTATTGGATGAAAGCAACAACAAAAAAAAACAAGAATGAATAGTTATTACATGGATGAACAATCCCAATATATGAATACAAGCCCGAATTCGCCTTCGAATACAGAACAAGAGAATAGTGGTTTTATTTATAAAATCGTTGTATTTTTTCTATTATTGCCATGGTATTGGGGTGCAATTACATTTGGAAATATTATTAATTTTTATAACAGCATGTACTGTTGATGATTGGTGGTTTAGTAATGACGATTGTAGACTCTACGGAATGAGCAATAGTATCAAGCGTGCATTCACGACAAACCTAGGAACTATCTGTTTTGGTTCACTTTTTCAAGCCAAAATAAAAACTTTACGGTTTTTTACAGGTGATGAACGTAGAAAAAGTATTATAGCCTACGCTATTGACGGTATTCTTCAAGCAATCGAAAAATGAATTGGTTATCGCAACCATTGGGCATTTACTTTTGCAGCACTTACTGGTGAAGGATTTGTTCAAGCTAGTCGAAGTTTTATAAAACTGTTTGAAGAACATGGCTGGACAGCAATCATCAATGATAGTATTATCGGAACTACTTTAATGTTTATCAATATTGGAATAGGTGTTATTTCAGCTGACGGCGGCGGCTCTATTATCTACATTACGATGATCCAATCACCGGAAAAACGTTTTCCTGTAAGTTGGGTGTCTCTAATTAGTTTTGAAATCGGTATATTTATGAGTTCAATCATTACAACGCTTTTGACATCATGTGTACGTACAATATTCATTTGCTTTGCTCTGCATCCAGCAGCATTAGGTGCGAACCATCATGAACACTTGGAGGAATTGACCACAGTTTGGCACAAGTTCTATCCGGAAGAATTCGCCAGTAGCGGCTATGCAAATCAATT